ACATCCCATCTCTACTCGACGTTGAGGAAGCGGTACGGGAAATGGCCAATAGAAAGGCCGTCGGGCCAGACGACCTACCGGCTGAGGTGATCAAGCTTTTCCTGGACGGAGTCCAAGGTCTCCTCCGCGAATTCCACGCCACTGTCGTGGACGTGTGGCAGACTGGGGACGTACCACAGCAGTGGAAGGATGCCACCATCAAAGTGCTGTTCAAGAAGGGGGACACGATGGAGTGCGGCAACTACCGGGGCATCTCGCTCGTCGCACACGCCGGCAAGGTGCTGCTTAAGGTCGTCGCTACACGACTGAGCCACTNATCTCTCTCGGCGCACACTCCGGCAAGGTGCCGCTTAAGGTCGTCGCTACACGACTGAGCCACTACTGCGAGCGAGAGGGCATCCTCCCGGAGGAGCAGAGCGGTTTCCGCCCACACCGGTCGACGCTCGACATGCTGTTCGCCATCCAGCGGCTCCATGAGCTCGCGAGGAAGAAGAGTACTGCGGTGTTCGCGTGCTTCGTCGACCTCACCAAGGCATACGATTCGGTGGACCGAGACCTACTGTGGGACGTGCTCCGACGCTTCGGCGTGCCCCCGAAGATGCTGGCGGTCATTCGCCACTTCCACGAGGGCATGAGGGCGCGCGTCCGAACGGACGACGGGCAGTACTCGGAATGGTTCGACGTGGGCCAAGGCCTCTGACAGGGATGCAACCTGGCCCCGCTGCTGTTCAACTTGTTCTTTGCCGCGATGCTCATGGTCGCCGCGACTGAGTTCGACAAGGACCCCAAGGTGACGGCGGACATGGACAAGATCGGGACACAAGTGGAGTACACGGGCAAGAAGGGCAGGTCGGCGGGGAAGAAGACGACGGTGGTGACGGACGCGGAGGCCTTGTGGGCCATGCTCTACGCTGACGACGCGGCCATCGTCTCGCGCTCGCCGGAGAGTCTCGAAAAGATGATGTCGGTCATCGTGCGCGTGGCCGGCCTGTTCGGACTGATGGTATCGGAGCCAAAGACGGAGATCATGTGCATGCTGCCGAAAGGGATCGAGGAACGCCCGTTCACGGTCAGCGCCGCCGGCCAGACGTACAAGCAGACAGATCGGTTTGTGTACCTCGGACGTATCATCTCCGCGGACGGGAAGGCCGACCGGGAGATCACGAGCCGCAGCTGCCGAGCGTGGAAGTGCTACCGCCGGAACAGTGCTTCGATGTACGACAGGCGACGGGCCGACCGCCAGCTCAAGATCCGGCTACTCCAGGCTGAAGTGGTGGAGACTCTCCTATATGGGTGCGCCTCGTGGAGCCTAACAGCGGAGCACTACACGAAGCTCAATGGAACCCGTCGCCAGTTCCTTTCACGGTGCATCCGCTGGAGCAAGCGGAAACGCTCAGACCGCCCCCTGACCTATGCCCAGGCCCTCATCCAGGCAGGCTGCGAGGAAACCATCGAGGCCACCGTGCGCAAACGGAGACTGTGTTTCGCGGGCTTTGTTATGCGCATGGAGGACAGCCGCCTCCCCAAGCGCATGCTGTTAGGAGCGATGGCGGGGGGCGTGAGATACCGGGGCGGGCAGGAGAGCGGCTGGATGTCTCGTCTAGGAGAGGACCTCGTGGCCTTTAACATGGGAGACGAAAAANGCGGGGCGACATGGCTCATGAGGA